GTTTCTAATGTTGCCTCCCCTTCTCCTAGCTGAGCCGGGTCGTAACAATAAGTTACCTACAGCAGGTAAGATATTAAGTGTTTATAACACGTCTAATGATCCCCATCTCAAAAGATTTGAATGATCCTTTACGACAACAATTTTCACACCTGTACGTGATGCTGTAGCGCCCGTCGTTGCTCAGGATGTTGTCATCAGGTCCGTGCCAGGAGACCGCGGCCCGAGGCCGGCCGCACACTTTACACCTCAGGGTGGCGTCGTCGCCGCTCTCGCAGGAAGCATCAGCGAGGGGAACGAGGAACTCTGGTGGAGCTGGAAAAAAGAAGAGCAAAGTTTTATTATTTCACTCTGAGTCTGTTTAAAGAAAACGTCTGCTGCTCAATTAAAACCCACGCACCGTCAGAAATGTAGTTGGGATTCAGAAGCTGAAGAGAAAAGATCGTACATCAGGTTGGACTCCTTGGACTGGTTCAAATGTAATGCAGTGATTTGGACACCTGTCCTACCTTCACAGACACCTTGGTGGACAGGTTGTCCTGAGACCTGCGGTAGCCGTTCTCCACCTTCCTGCCCTCCTTGTCTCTCCTCTCAGACTTTCGGCGGATACGCAGCGCTGTGTGCCATGACAGGGACTTTCTAAACAAACAAAAACAAAGAGTTTTCTGTTTGTATGCAGGAACCTGTCTCACGTTTGTCCTTCGCAGGCTTCCGTTGTGTCTTACTTGATGGTTCCTTCAGGGAGCTCGGGTGTGATGGAGGATGAGGTGTGTCCTAATACAAAGCCAGGGATCCAGCCCTCGGCGGCAGGGGAGTGCTCGTTGGAGGCCCGGTACACCAGGAACATGCTCTGCTGGTTGCTGGCGAGCATCTGGACCACCTCACCCTGCACCACGCTGATCTCATCCTCCTTCACTGCCACGTAGTCCTGCGTCACCAGCATGGTGGACATGCTGCTGCTGCTGCTGCTGCTTTCACTCTGCTGGACAGGAAGTTGTGAAAGTTAAAGCACCAGACGCCAAGCGACGTCATGGATAAAAGAAATAAAATGACAACACTGAACTAAATAAAATCGAACATTTCTGAACTCAGCAGATAAATCTGTTCAAAAACACATTTAATACAAGCTGAAACAAAAGCACGGTTTTTGTTTTTTACTTGCAAAGGAAGAAACTTTGTTAAACCTGATAGTTCAGATGTTTTGAAGTGGTGTTCTGGGGAAAGCTTCATGAACAATTACTATCTTACCTGTTGTAGATAGCTCTTTAAACAGCCTCGCTTTGGCGTAACAGTTTAACTTTGAATCAACGAGCTAACAGCTACGAGTAATTTCTGCTCCTTTGCTCACTAAATAAAATGTGACCTGAGCCACAAAACCTGCTACAACTGCGATTACCAACTGGTGGCCCATGGGCCACTTCAGGTTTGTTAGATGGGGCTTTTCCAGCCACTGAGGGTGGCATTATAAAACTAGAAATATCTAATGGTTGTTCATATGGACTGTATATGTACATTTTAAGAGAAAACAGACCAGATTCAAGTAAAGAAGGAAAAATAAAAAGCAATTTTTACTACTGGTTTTGCTAAATGTTTCTTCCTCATGAGGGAGTTTTTCCTTTCCACTGTCGCCTTCATGCTTACTCAAGATGAGAGTTCTGTGATCAAAGCAGTCTGCTCCTCAGATAAATTGTGTTAACTTATTATTTTTATATATGAATGTTTCTGTTCAGTGCCCTGAGATGACTTCTGTTGTGACTTGGTGCAATATAAATAAAGTGAATTGAATTTAAAATGATACAAATGTAAAACCCCCTGCAGGTCTGTGGGAGTTCTCTTTTTAATTGTGAAAAAAAAAAAAAGATTAAGTGTCCCAGTGTGAAGTAAAAAAAGCAGGCAAAGTGTTAAAAGTTGACCAGTTTGTTGGATATGTAACTGATTTTTTTTTTATATTTCCTTTTGTAATTTTTTTTATTCTTATTGTTATCAAATTGGCTCACCATGTTTCTTCTCAGCAACTTGTCTTAAATGTGGATTTGAGCGACAGATCACACAAAAAAACAGGAAGTCATCTTAAAAAAAGTGGTTAACATACTACTAGCGTGATGTAGCCAACGTGTTTTGTTTCTTGTACACAGACTATCAAAATAATTGACAGGAAAATTGATTACTGGTGTTTTGTTGTTGGCATAAAAAAAACATTCAAATTCAGATTTTTGTTACCTTAGAGCTGCTGCGAAGGGACCAAAGAGCTGCATGAAATGTCCAAAATATATTCCTAAAGAATGTTTTAAAGCCCTTTTCTGAGCAGAAACAAGGACTAATGGTGTTTTTGAGCAGAAAAGCCTCTAATTTTTGCTCCTTCCTGATAGTGAGGCTATTTTCAGTATCAGCTGGGAAAACCTGATATTCAACTATGGCTCGAGGTTTCCTCTTTCAAATGATGTAGAAAAAAAATCCGTATTAGAATACGCAAACATTATGATTCAGACCAATTTTCCATGGGTTATCCAAATTAGCAACACAAATCTTTTTGAACCTCTCATGAAATCAGGATGACCTCTGTATCAAAATGTAGCTTAAAAAACCACAAATCTGAAAAAGTCCCTTTTGACCAAATCCACCTTAGTCCTTGATTTGACGTGACGGGTTTAATACAGTATATGGCGGTGGCCATCTTGGATTTTGACCTGGGAACCTAATTTTTGATAGGGACCTTTCCTACACTTATACAGCCACACACCAAAATGGAAGTCCAGAAATTACTTCTTTATCTTTTTTCTTATTATCCTTCAGGATAATAAAATCTTACTTTATGGTCCAAGTTCTCATGCTCACAACATGATGCTGTTGTTTGGTGTATTGTTTTGCACTACTAGTGACTGGAATATATCTTAGATCTTTTGTCGTACCGTTTGGTGATTGTTTAGCGTATATCTTAGTTTATATCGCAGATCCTTTTTTACTGTTTCTTTTTACACTTTATATTTTTGCTATTGTTTGATGTAACTGGGACCTTGTGTACATAATTTCATTCCACCACATGTACCACAAGTGATGCGAATGACAAATAAAGAAGTCTCTGACTCTCTCTGACAGACAGACAGACAGACGGTATTTCCAACTCCTCCTCTTGGTTCTTAGACAGGAGATAAAACAGAAACAGCTAGGAGCAGCTAGCTGGAGTGCCTGAGACACTTCTTGCAGGAAGATCAAAACATTTATACAATAACAATAATAATAATAATAATAATAGTAATAATAATAATCCATTAAAGTAAAACTGTTGGTAATGTAAAGATTTATAAAATATGAACAGCAGTAAAATCCCTGAGGCTGTTTTTATTTTTAAATCCCTGCTTTTGTTTGACCTGTCAGTCTGGTCCAATTAAATTTTGTTTCTCCAAACTGAAGAGCCTCGGCAGGTAAAAATGATTTGATCTTATTTCAACAGAACTCCACTTCAAAACATCTGAATTTTCCCTTTAAAGTAAAGTTTGATATGTCAGGAAAGAAAAGAGGTGTTTCCTCGGGGGGTCAGAGATGCAGAACTTCATTTTTCAGTTGGCAGAATGAAGTTAGAGTTAAACATCTAGAAAGCAGCAGCAGAAGAAGAGGAAGTAGTTTTAGAAGACAAACAGCAGCTGGTGCAGATCTGCTGAGATGTTCAGGAGGAGCTCCCTGCAGCTCAGTGATCGCGGGGGGGATCACCGGGGATTATCGACGAGATTAAATGAGTGTGAAAGAGAAAAGGAGTTTTGTCAAACCGTCTGGTTAGTGCAAACACACGCTGAGGGGGGAGCGTTTAAAGCAGCGACGTCACCGCACCTGCTCTGTTAGTAAACTCTGCAGGCTCCCAGATGCGCTCGGTGAGGTTAGTGCACGTGGTCAGTGTTTCAGTACTTGTTGCAGCAGGGGGCGCTGACTGACAGCCGCTCAGTCAGGGTGGGGTTAGTGAGTAGTGAGGAGCTGGCTGGAGTCTGGGCCTGGACCGGGCCTGGATCTTACCCCGTTGCTCTGGGTGGAGGTTACGGACTGCTCGCTGGTGGAGGAGCAGGTGCTCATGCGGTCCACGTCCTTACTGTGGCTGGAGCTGCGTTTGAAGGACGGCGTCCCGCCGCTCCCTCTGCCCAACGAGTCGCCTCCACCGCTGGTGTCGCTGGGGAAGGAGAGCGAAGCGGGCCTGCTGGCTGGAGAGGGGGGCATAGGGGGAACCACGGCCCAGAAAGGGTTCCCTTTATGCGACGGGCTTGACGGGACACACGGTTCCTTTCCTCCTCCGGGGGCGTGAGGTGAAATGAGGGGAGAAATCGTCCCGACTCGAGAGCTTTTAAGTGGAAAACTCAGAGGAGCCACAGTCATCCGAGGAACTGCGGCTTTCTGAGGCTTCTGGTTCTCCTCGTGGCCCCCCAGACCCGGTCTGAAGGTGTCGTCCTTGCTGTCTGGTGTCTTATTACTGCTGCTACAGTTACTTCCATGAGAACCATCCAGCCCCCTCAGCTTAGGACCCTCAGAGGCCGACGCCTCTCCGTTTGTCATGCTGTCTGAGTAGAGGTAAGAGGAGTGGGGGGCGCAGGGAGACCACATACCTGCTGATCTGTCGAGCCCCTCGGGGCCCGGGGGGTGGTGGTGGTGAACGGGCTGGGGGAGGCGTGAGGAAGGCTGTGGGATGCGGGACGGCCGAGAGCGAGGACCGCAGAGGGAGGAGGAGTTCCCCCCCAGTCCTCCTCCTCCTCCTATGTTGTTGGTGCTGCTACCTCCAGGGAGACCTCCTGTACCGCTGCTACTGCTGGGGGGTCCGCTCTGCCCGCCCCCACCCACATGGTTCCTCTGGTACTCTATGGGTGAGGTCAAAGCTGTGGGACACACAAAGGCAGGATTTCTTCATGTCAAACAAACATTTCTGTAAAAATGTGCATGAAAACAAAAAAGGATGTTGATCTTTGCTCCAACTCCAGAACAAACTCCAGATGCCAGCGTTCAGCAGTCATCGGTAAGCAGAGCGTCTTACCGTTGAGGAAGTTGCGCTGATTTTCCAGGATCTGGCTGACATGGTGGATCCAGGCCTGACTGACCCCGGGACTTGTTGAATGGAAGGTGAACCTCTCCAGGGTCCCGTTGGAGGACCTGGAGATGAGCGTAAACTTGCAGGGATCGTCTGCATTCTCCTCCAGACCCAAACAGCTCACCTGCAGACCAGGTGACATTTCTGTTAATTGTCAGACGTCTGAGGAGGCTCAGACCTAGTGGAGCTGCTCTCACCTTGATGCTGTTCTTGAAGAGGTAGCCGGGAGTGGAGAAGCCTTTCTTTTTGTCCAGAGGCTCGCTGAAAATAACTATCTGCTCAAAGAGAAACACTCTCCTCTCCTTCATCCTGGACAGGAGGCCTCCATCTTGGTCTGAAACCATGAAGGTGTCCTGCAGGAGCAGCCTGCCCTGAGCCACGATCTTACCCTGAAAAACGTTTCCGTTTGAAAACCTGGGCAAATACTGACACCTAGTGGTCAATGTGCACACTAAATTAATTTACACACGAATACACTGTGCAGAGGAACCTACTTCAAACCCTTGAAGTCGTCCAACATTCATCATGTCGTTGCAGCGCTTCGGGACCACGCACATCACTTCTACAGCTTTCTACAACAGAGCGAGGCAGGAAAAACCAATTTTATAACAACATGCTGGCCTGAGCGTCCAGATATGGAGTTCAAATTTAGTAAACGTAACAGAATATACCTCTAGCTCTGTCGTATCCACACCTGCTTTCTTAGAAACCTTCAGAAGATCCTGATAAAGAGTTTAAATGAGGAGTACTGGCATTTGTGATGTTAAAACATATTTTATTAGTAACTTTGATATTAGTACCTTCAGTAGTAGCTGGTACTTCATGATGCGTTGAACAGGTTTGATGAGCAGATCAGTGATCTGCAGCCTGTGGCCCAGCCGCTGCTTCAGGTCCTGATGAAACACACGATGATGTTTTTAACAACTCTAAGAAAAAAAACCTGAGCTTTTACTGCAAGAATGAAGAGCAAAGCTGCACAACAGACTTACTTCAAAGTAAGTGTCGATATACTCTGACACGATGTGCTCGGATTTAGGCTTGTTCTGGCAGTAGACGATGTACATGTGCAGCCGTCGCTCCTGCAGATGAATAAAACCAAGTTTAAATCTGTTTAACACCTCAGGGGAATTCAAAATTCAATTCAATTCAAAAATACTTTATTAATCCCAGAGGGAAATTATTTTGTTGTTGTAACTCGTTATCCTCATTTCATTAAGAGATGTTATAGATGCTGATGGCTGTAGACAGGAAGGATCTCTTGTAAAGGTCCATCCCACAGTGGATCCTAAGAAACTGGCTGCAGATGCCGTCCGATCCATCCACCCAGACTCGGCTGGCCTCCTGGTTCCCCTGGACTGTAGGACCGCTTGAATGCTGGGCAGAACTCCTCCCAGAGCGATGGCCACTCCTCCCAGAAGTCTGCTGAGCTCCTCATAGCTGCGGACAGCTAACTGTAGGTGCTGAGGGACGATCCTGTTCTTCCGCTGTCGTGAGCCGTGTTTCCTGCTAGTTCCAGGATCTCAGTGGTCAGGCACTCGAGCACAGCTGGCAGGTAGATGAGAATGCGTCCATAGAACATCCTTTTCAACTCATTTGAGAGTTGGGGCCATAGTTGAGATATTATTTCAGCTTTTGAGATGTTATTCAGCTGCTGTTGTTGTAGAAAACTGCCTTGTTGCCATGGTTACGCATCATAACAAATGTCCAAAACTAAAAAAAGTTTCAGTAAAAATCCTTCCAGCTGCACAGCATCCGATACCAGAGGAACCAATCATCCAAAAAATGTGATTTACATCCAGAAAAAGAGGAATTAAAGTTTCCAAAAGCAGAATCTCAGAATGAATGTAACAGAGCTGCTCCAACATGCAGCCACCTTGAGTGGCGCAATTCTAGAATTCTAGAAATTATAGAAACATCCACCCCCTTATTTAACTGCTTACATAAACTTTAGTATTTATTTTCACAATTTACTAGTCAATCATTTAGAGCACCCTCAGCCTGAAAAAAAAGAAGAAAAAAAAAAAACTTTTTTTTTTTTTTAACTCTTTAAGGTAAAAAAACTAAACAAAACAAACAAACAAACCAAAAAAAAAAATCCATGTTTCTGTTTAATGATTTTTAGAGAGAAAAGAAAATTCCAGTCTGGAGTTTTGTAAAGACCCTTCAGATCTCGTAGCTGAAAACGAGACCTTGTTTTCTGTCAAACTTACTTCTGTCTTTCAGTGGTCGAGCATGGATGGTTTTTAAATACAGTAGTCTCTTGCTACTTCACGGTTCGACTTTCGTGGATGCGCGCTTTTGCGGTTTTTCAACAATTGTTAACTTTAATATTACTCACGTGATTGGGACGGTATGGGATTAAAAGTTTATGAAAAAATACTTTGGAAATTCCGCCATTTTGTAGTTTTCTTTCAATAAGCATACACTGTAACGGCAGTCAAAAGAACTACACTACCCAGAAGCCAACAGTGCTTCCTGCTGCTGCTTTTTGCCAAAATGGAGGTAAAAGAAACGCAAAGTCAGAAGAAACCATCTATTTAATAATCTCACAGAACTGACAGGAAAGTCGTAAATAATCCTGAAGCTTAATTATGCACGTGCACATCAACCTGGACGGGGCGGTGGGCTTCATTGCTGCAGGGTAGGTCTACAGAACTGGAACCGAGCTGCTGGTCTGCATAGCTGGTGAGTAAAATTTTGCAATACTGTACAGTACATAAATGTATGTTGCTAAAATGATGTAGGTTTAAGAGTTTAGAACATTGCAAGAGTGTGGGAAGGGTTTATAAAGCCTTAATATATATATATATATATATATATATATATATATATATATATATATAAATACTAAAATAAATTTAGTGTTCCTACCATGCAGTTTTTCACTTAGCGCGGTGGTGTGTGAAACATAACCCCCGCAATAACCGAGGGACTACCGTATATATATATATATATATTTTTTTTTTAAATGAATATTGTTTTCTAAAACCCTACTTGTGCACAACACCAGTTTCTGCTTGGTATTTTGCTTTTGCTGACCCTGTGATACCACCAGTTGCTGCAGCACGATGCACCCGCTAATGGCATCCAGCTTTGGGTGAAACCAACAGGAGTCAGCTGTTCTGAGCTGTGCAGCCATCAAAATAAACGTTTACTTGTGCAACTTGCAAGAGCGTTTTGCTCTTTACATCCAAACTAAAACTATTTTTGTTGGACAAAATGAGAGGAGAAACTCTGCAAAGGAGTCTGACCGGCACCACAGTGGGCTAATATAAAAATCTAAAGTAGAGGGATAGAGATAAAATGAATTACTGAGAGGAATGCATTATTTTATGATGTGATAAATATGGGCTCAAATAATGCATTTATAATGAATTTTATGGCTGATTTTTTTCCCCATCAGGAACATGAGAAATGTTGAAATGAAGGTACTGCGAGGTTATGAGATCTTTTGAACAAATTCTGACAAAAGAAAATAAAATAAAAACGATTTTTAGGCTTTGTCAGAAAAAAAACCATAAAGACCTGAGCAAGAATAAATGAGTAGCTGTTAATACTTTCCAGGGGTTACATTTACCAAACTCCTTCGTACAGACAGAAGAGATTTTACCTGTTTGATGAATAAAGGAGCGAGTCTGTCAGGATCCTCCAAACACTTCTCAAGCTCTCCCAGGAATAAACTACAGATGGATAAAAACAATATGATTCCACCTGCCTCCTCCTCTTGTTCTGTTGTATCAGTGCCCAGGCAGGGAGGGCGGGGGGTATTTTCAGGTACAATATTTGTGGTAAAGAACGTACTCTCTGTGCCACTCGTAGATCTGATGGATGTTGCCAAAGACGATTTTATCTTTCCCTCTCATGTCATCTGGAACTCCTTCCTCTTTCATCCTGCTCATGTAGCCCTAAAAACAGGAGAGGCAACTCAGGTGTAAAACCTTCAGAATATATTGAAATAAAAGCAAAATGTTTGAGGCTTCATTTGTGTTTTACCTCCACCACTGATCCTAAGTCTCGGACGTAGTCTCTTTCTGTCTCTACCAGCTCCAGCAGCACATAACTGAGCAGGAGAATAAATAGAAAACATGGCAGCTGAAGGAGGGAGATGCTCAGCCTACGAGGAAAATGTCAACAGGAGATTCGTGCATCTTTCGTTTCTCAACACACTAGGCCTTAACTCACTGTCTTTTCTTGAGGAAGCCAGATTTGCGCTCTTCCACCTCGTCGATGGGCGAGGAGGAGGACAGGAGCGAGTTATCGGACGGGTTGAGGGAGGGGGAGCTGCTGTCGCCCTGCTCCACCGACAGAGAACTGGGACGGTCCTCCAGAGACTGAAGACGGCGGTAAGAAAGAGAAACAGAAAAGGAGAGAAAAGCTGAAGCGTGCACTTCATTTAGGACGGTCCATGAGTTGGACCAAAGGACAGCTGGGACACTTAGTCAGCGTCCTGACAGATGACAAGTAGGATCATTGTGACCAACACTCCAGAAGAAAAAAAGTGTCTGAATGCACATCGATCACAATGGTTCAGTGCGCGAGTGTTCCTCGCTCACACGTCTCCCTGGGTGTTGGTGATGACTCCCTAACTCACCATCTTGCTCTTCACCAGCTCCTCGATGGCGCTGACCAGCTCGGCGGCGCTCGGCGTCTCTGAGCTGCAGGGGCGAGCGGACAGCCGGGACGCCGACTGGAAGACACGACAGAAACAGTGAAAAAAAGGTTCATTTTAAATATTCAGGGCTAATGGATGTGCAAACCCAAGTCTTTCTGAGGCAGGCAAGAATGATAACAACACACGGAACAGAAAACCAGACAGTTCTGTTTTTTTACTTTTTTATTTTTTTTCGGTCATGTTGGAAGCAGCTGAAATTTATTCAAAATAATCTTGCACTAATTAAAAATCCTGTCATTTTGTGTTGTTTATGTTTAAAGGTGTTAACAATAGTTTTAATAAGAAACTTGAAAAAGTTAAAGAGCTCTGATCTGGTTTATAAACAAGATTGGGTTGTTTAGTTTAACATCTTTGTCTAAAAGCCTGGAGCAGACGTGGGCAATGTATGGTCTGCGGGCCAAAAGAGGCCTTCGGACAATCTCCATCCGGCCCCCAATATCCCTAATAAAAAATTTTAAAAAATCCATCCATCCATTATCTTTTACCCGCTTCTTCCATTTTGGGTCACGGGGGTCACCGGTGCCCATGTCCAGCAATCACTGTGAGGGGCGGGGTACACCCTGGACAGGTCGCAAGTCCATCACAGGGAAACATATAGAGACAAACGAGACAAACAACCATTCACTCTCTCACTCACACCTAGGGACAATTTAGAGTTACCAATCAGCCTAACATGCATGTTTTTGGTCTGTGGGAGGAAACCGGAGTACCCGGAGAAAACCCATGCATGCATGGAGAGAACATGCAAACTCCACCCAGAAAGGCCCCTGGACCGGGATTTGAACCGGGGACCTGCTCGCTGGGAGGTAGACGCTCTATCAGTTATTCATGAAACATGTTTAAATGATCTTGTTGAATTTCCCTCTTGTTTATTTCTGTCTGCATAAATTTTTCTCCAAGATCGTATACTGATGGCAGGAGATTTGGACTACTGGGCAAAGTCTTCTCCAGTACATCCCAAAGACTCTCAGTGGGTTTGTCCTGTGAACCTTTTAAGAGCCTCTTTTTGCATATCTTCTGAATAGTAAATTATGGATCTGGTCAGCTGGTCTCTCAACGTAATTGATCAAATTTTCTCAACGAGAAGACAGGGCGAAGGAGAGCCCTCCTGCCCAGACAGGACACTTGCAGCCGGATACACAATGAATTCCTGGGGGAAGTGGAAGATTGTGTGTTTGTCCATATTGTAGGTTGAGGACGCTGAAGATGTGTACATGATTGGATTTACGATAACAGGATTTCTGCTTTGTGGAGTTGGAGGTTACTTGGCATATCGACAAATTCGGAAAATTGCAGCTGTTCTGGCCATTGTAAGGCTGCCCAGCCTGTGTGAAGGAATGTGCCGTACAGTCAACATTCAGACTCAAATGCTGTGCGAGCTGAGTTGTAAGTTGGACACCATTCTTGCTGAGAATCACAGGCTACTTGCAGCTCCTGAATCTCGCTGGTGGGAAGGAATAGATCTCGGAGAAGTTGTAAGCTCGACTCGGCGTATGTGAGAACAAATTTGGTTGTTTGGAGTCGCCATTGAGATGTACTAGTGAGTCTGTAAAAGGCAGATGGAAATTAACAGAGCCGGCCTGACCAAAAACAAGTGTTGCTATCTGAACCTGGCTACCCCCCCATGTCGGCCTTGGAAGGTTGACTTCCTCAAATTCTCCTAGATGTTATGTGAACAAGATGCTCAGCTCCCCCTCCCAGATCCTTTCCCCAAGGACAAGGACCTGTGTCAGAGCTCTATCGAGCTGGCTGATAAACACTGCACTGTCACTTATCAGGACTATGGCTGGTGGGGGTGGGGCGGGGTGCTATCTGGACAGTGTTCATGGACTACTTCACCTCAAATTCATCGCCTTCGCTGGCCTCTCTCATTTTGCCCTAACGGTGCAGCAACCTAGGTAGATGTGAAGGCACTAGTGACTGTGTCTCTCACTTGGGCGGCCTGTGCTGGGACCCCCACCCTCACCTATTCCACATGCATATGTCTTTATGTCACCAGTATGTTGCTTTTTCATATGCTGAGGTTTTTTTTGTGCAAGATATGATTTTTGTATACCTCCCCTTTCCTCATGTTTTCCCTTTTCCTTATCTAAATAAAAAGGGCAGCTCTTTCCATGAGGTTGCAACTTCAGGCATCCCCATCTACTCATGTTGTTTTCTTTGGACGGCTGTACTGAAACGTAATTTCGTTGTGATTCTGTGCAATGACAATAAAGAGTGATTCTGATTCTGATTCAGGTCTGGACTCCGTGGTGTGAAAATGATGTCTCATGCTCCCTGAACTACCCTTTCACAATCTGAGCCCGATGAATCCTGACATCGTTATCTTGGAACACGGCCATGGCAGCAGGGAACACGGAATAACCAGGTCATTCAGTTTATTCAGCTGACTTCATTCTCTGGACACATATGCTGCTGAACTTAGACCAGACCAACTGCAGCAGCCCCAGATCATAGACTGCCCCCACAGGTTGTTCTGTAGGCTCTAGGCATGATGGTTCTTCACCTCTTACTCTGATGCTCACTCCCCACTGTCCTTCCAGTTATTAATAATGCCTTGGAAAGGTCTTAATGTGATTTTAGTAGTTCCAGCAATCTCCTCAGATGTTTCCTCAATTTGATGCCAAGAACTTGACTCTTCTGAAACAGATGGTTCTTTCCACGACCACAGGATGTGCCTTTGTTGAACAAATGAGAAGCTCCTCACCGCATCACTAATGCAGTCGTTATCCAGTAGGAGGCTCTTATCTTATTGCTTAAAATCCTGGTGGTGACTTTTCAAGCACAGAATGACTAAATTTAAGCCTTTCAGAGAGAGAGAGAGAAAAAACAAACAAACAAAGAAAACTTGTCCTCTTTTATTTTTCATGCATGTATTCCTTTTAAAGAAGCATCACCGTGAACGTGGTCGGGCTCACCGTTGTCATGTTCGGACCCAGACAGTCCACGAGTCCATTAAAGAACTTCTCGTCATTTTTCCTAATGGAACGGTGACTCGAGGGGCCAATCGCAGGTTGGTCTCAGGGTCACGGCAGGTCATGAGGTGGGTTTGGGTCGGGGGCAGTTTCAGGGATTGGAGCACTTTTAATTAAGCGCACGTGCTATGATTGGTCAAACAGCTTCCACACAGAAAACACTCCAGTGGACAGAAGGTTAACCTCGACCACAAAAGGGACTAAACATGTCGGGGTCAAATAAAAGACTGTCTGAGTGTGACAAAAACAAATGACCACCATAAAAACATAAGAATGTAACATGTCACTTCAGTTTCATTCCAAGGACGTGATGTGAATTTCTCAAAGGAAAGAGAAGAGGAGGAGGAGAAAAAAAGGAGGTTTACATGGAGAGGAGGGGGATCTGAGACTGAAGAGAGGCAGAACAGAAACCATCGTAAGGCTGAGAGAGGGAACATGCAGCCGTTAAGAGTAAAAAAAAGAGGAGAGAAAAGAAAACAGAGCAAAAGAGAGCTGTGTTAGCGTTAGCTCTGGACTGGAGGAACGTCTGATCATCTGCACCTAAAGAACTCAAAGGACGTTTGATGCTTTAAACTCCTTTAGAGTTATTTTTCTTTTGAGTTGTCTGTAATCTGTGAGCAGCTGGTTGGACGGTGCTGTGTGACCCACCTTGTCATCCTGGGAGTCCGGCTGCAGCAAGCTGTGCTGCTGAATGGCCATGGGGGGAGGAAGAGGAACAGCATCGGCCCCCTCTTCTCCTTCCTCCTCGCCGCAGCTCTGCATCCCTGAGGACGAGGACTTGGACAGGGTGCCGCTGCTCAGCCCTTCATTACGCATGCGCTGCAGGGAGCAGAGTGATTAGCAGTCAGTAGGTCTAAATCCAAACTGGGTCTTTGAGTCATGCTGTGAGGGTCTTACTTCCTCCAGGGTCTCGTCCTGAGGCGTGGCGGCACTGTCGTCGGAATCTTTTTGTGAGCCGGGCAGGGCGTCCATGTTCTTCCTTGTGCCGTCGCGGTTCTTCTTGTGCTTGTGGGCGAGCTTCTTGACGTGGCCGTCGGCCTTACCAGAGCTGAGCCGCCTCACGGGGCTGGTGAGCCACTTCCTCAAAGTGTTCCCTGGACGTTTGGGGCCCGGTGAGCTGTGGGGTCCCAAGGTCTGGCTAGAGCCGGGTTGCAGGGCGTCATTACTGGATACAGACAAGGTGTCTGAGAGCGAGGAGGAGAAATGAGAGATGGGGTTAACGAAGACAAAACAACAACAACACAAAAATCAGTCCTTCACTAATTGACATGTCTGTTTGTTCAAGCACCAACAGCAAAAAGCTAATCCGTGTAATTACAGCTGTCTGATAGGGCTATGAATGGCTTGTTCACATCAAAAACACTCAGAACAATTCCTAAATATGACAGTAGGTTGTTCATTAATTACATTTGGTCACAAGTGTCAAAAACCTCTTTGTGCAAAACCACTAACAGCTGATATGAACGTGACGTCATGTCTTAGAAAATAGAAAAAGTCAACGTATGACAGATTGTGTCTTCATGTTGAGCGGGCAAGCGAGCCGCCTCCACACAGCCATGATGCTCCTTGGGGAATCTGTGGGAGGAAAACTCCACATCTAACAGAAATGAAGCAGTGAGAAAAATAAATCACAGAATATGATCACGCTTTAGGCTCTGTCTGAATCCTTTAACGTTATGTCCACCTATCTGTCTGATCCTTTACCCCTGACTGCTTCTGCTCTTGTCTGATTAAGATTTCATGGGAAACCCTGCTGAAATACAAAAGTATAAATCAGTGTTTCTGTATCTGTGCTGCAGAGTGATAGAGGGTAAAACGGACGCAGCTGCTACAGATTAAATCATGTGACTCGCTCTTATAAACGGCAGGTGTGGAGATTCTGCCTCTTCTCACAGAAACATTGTGAGTAAATGCTCCTGCGTGTGAACGGGCATGACTGGCTCAGCCTCAGGGCTGGTTTTACTGCTCTGCTTATAAAAACATGTTCCTCACCACACATGGAAGCAAAAAGGACAGTACCCAGGACAACAGGCACACCAGGCTCTGTGAAAACATAAAACAACTTCTCCATCTCCCTCTGAGAGCCCAGGAGAGTCATGTATAAAGATGTGCACGAGTTTCCTACTCAAACAAGGCATATGGTTAAAGAAAACAGCATGCGCTCAAGAAAGTACAGATGTATGAAACTGTGTGTTTCCAGTTCACCAGATCAACGTGGGCTGAAACAGCACAAACACCTCCCTGGAAACGCCTCCATTTAAATATGCATACATGCCATGTTTGATTCTCTGTTCTTCATGATCTAAACTCATGTCTTCATGCAGAAAGAGGGTCAGAGATGCTGCTAAATGAGACAGAGGAGTGTCAAAACCTTGTGTTTGGCACGCTGTCCTCTGGCATTAGCGCCGAGCTCAAGAGAAGTGCGAAGCTGTCGCTGCCATTAGGTGTGCCCATGGACGAGGCCGAAGCGTGCCAAACATTACGGGTGTGTTTATTAAACCTAACAAGCGGTACCCTGGTGTCCCCAGTCATTAATGTTTTTGGTGCAAGATATTCAAGTGGGTAGGAGTACACTGTGTTGCACCAACAGGTGTACTGGTGGAGCCAGGGGGAGGCCAATGGTGACCACGGCCACCATAGAGTAATCTTTGGCCACCCCAAGGACCCTTTGAAGAAACTATATATATGTAGAGCATCCTGTGCTCCAGCATCAACGTGTGGCATGGGGGCTGCACAGCTGCAGAAAGAAAAGCTTTGCAGAGAGTGGTGAAGGCTGCACAGAAGTCTGTTGGAGTCAGTCTCCCCACCATCACAGACATTTACACCTCCAGATGCAGGAAGAGAGCCACCTGCATCATGAAGGACCCCACTCACCCAGCACACACACTTTTTGCCCTGCTTCCCTCAGGCAGAAGTTTGAGGAGCATTAAGTGTAGAACCACTAGACTGAGGAACAGCTTCTACCCTGAGGCTGTTAGACTCATGAATCTCTAGTCAGGATTATCACTGTGAAAATCACTGTGAAAAAAATGACTGTAATGCCACTTGATTGTTGATTATGTTCTGCTGACTATCCATGATGCTGATCTTATGCTGCTGATTATTTCATGTTGCTGTGTTCATTCGTCCTCATCTGCTCACACAGACTCATGTTCGTGCTGCTTGTTGTTTTGGCACATTGTTTTGTACTATTAATGCTTAGTTTATTCCTAGTTTAGTGAATTTCTTAGTTCATGTCTTGGATCTTATTAGTGTTTTTCTTTACAATTGGTATTTTGTTGGATGTAACTGGGACCATGTGTACATAGTTTTGTTCCAACTGACGTACCACATGTGATGTGAATGACAGTAAAGAACCTTGGCCTTGACACTTTTAAGCAATATGAAAACTAGAAAGCATAGTTTCCTCAAATGATAGAGGTGGCCTATTTACATTTATATGGCAGTGCCCAGCTTAAATTTTGTTGTGGCAATCCAGTATTTGACAGTGACCTGTCTTATGCCTTGTTGTAGCCACACAATCAAATCCCAGAATCCCACTAAGTTTTCAAGTTATCCTGCTCACAACCTGCAAGGATGGAGGGTGTTTCCAATTTTCCACTTGGCTCTGTAACAAGGGTCAACAACTGTATACGCAAAAACACTCAGGGGCTCAGTAAAACACCCTGAAACTGTAACTTAACCCGTCAAAAACAGGATGTGACTCACTCGAAACACCAAGGAGTAATGATGCCAATGAGTGGGGAGAATTTTTGGAGTGGCGTATCATTTCATTGTTGATCCATCTGAAGTTTTGCAGGGTGAACAGTGGACGTTACATTTTGTGCTCATACACCCTCTGTACACAAGGCCTTATAGCAAAACACGGTGGCCTTTCACTGATTCTGCTAAATGTAGGCAGTTTCTTACCCATAATTCAGTACTATGAAACAAATATATCATGGCCACACATCTGGTTGTTTTGATTCAGTATACATAAAAAAAAAAAAAAAAAAAATAGTTTAAGGAAGAGTGTGAAGATGTCCTCCTCCTGGTCTCCCTTGAGGTCAAACAATGAAATAAGACTTTATTTGACTTCAGGGTTTAAAAAGAAGCTTGCAGGAGAGGTAAACAGCCTGCCAGCAACCAGGAATCTGACTTCATGTTTCCTCTCAGCTGCAAGCGTTCCTGTTCTGATCCAAACAGAAACATTGGACGGTGCAGCAGCTCTGTGTGTCGGCAGCTCCTGGTTTGTTTTAGGTGTGATGACGATCAACAATCACAGCTCCTGTTCACTGACTGACTCCATTTAATCAGCTGCTAAGATCTCCCCCGTCTTATATGTACAAAAGGATTCTCTGTAACGAACCAGCTGGAGTGTGAGGTTACTTCCTTTCTGCAGAACAAATAAAAACCCTGGTCACGTCTGTTAATGACAAGATGCTTTATTCATGCGCTCACGGTCTTTAAAGCTGTAATTCTGATGATGTACACCTATAGAGCATCGCCAAGGACTTTAAAACCCTCTGTTAATGAGCCCTTTATGCTATGTTACGGTACATAAAGAATATGTAGGAGTTAACTTAGATGTTGATTTAATGTATTTGAGCTTAAAATCCTAAAATGTTTGAGGAAAAAAACCTTTATAGAGCTGTTCTTCTCTAATTTAAATATAGCCATTTGTTGTTATTTGTTTTAAATGTCCATCCATCCATTTTCTTTACCCGTTTGTTCCATTTTGGGTCACGGGGGTCGCTGGTGCCCATGTCCAGCAATCACTGTGCGAGGGGCGGGGTACACCCTGGACGGGTCGCAAGTCCATCACAGGGCCACATAGAGACAAACGAGACAAACAACCATTCACTCTCTCACTCACACCTAGGGACAATTTAGAGTTAGCAATCAGCCTAACATGCATGTTTTTGGTCTGTGGGAGGAAACCGGAGCACCCGGAGAAAACCCACGCATGCACGGAGAGAGCATGCAAACTCCACCCAGAAAGGCCCCTGGACCGGGGTTTGAACCAAGGACCTGCTCGCTGAGAGGCAGCAGCTCTACCAGTTGCACCCCCGTGCTGCCCTGTTTTAAATGTATTAAATGTAATGTATGTTGTGTATGTATCTGTTCCTCTCAAACTCAGCTGGTCTAAGCAGATGGCCGCTTGTCCTGAGTCTGGTTCTGCTAAAGGTTTCTTCCTCAAGAGGGAGTTTTTTCTTTCCACTGTCGCCTTCATGCTTGCTCAAGATGAGAGTTCTGTGATGGAGTTAAACTCAAAGCTGCTCCTCAGATAAATAATGTTAAATTATTATTTTTATAGATGAATGCTTCTGTTCAGTTCCCTGAGATGACGTCTGTTGTGACTTGGCGCAATATAAATAAACTGAATTGAAATTAAATGTCTGAAAATATTTATGGCCTGCATCTGACACATGAAAGTTATGAAGATTTTTTTGACCGTAAAACAAAAACACATCACTTTATAATGTGTTATTATTATATAACGTGGTAACTGAGATATCCTGGTCTATAAAAATGAAGAAATGATGAGGGCTTCGTAAGAAGAAGAACAAAGTTTACACTTTAAGTTGAATGTATGTTTAATTAGATGGACTCTTCTGGTTTTCTACTAGATGAAATCGTTCCGAGAGTGCGGAGTCAACTGAACTGAAATGAGAAAATAAATGAGAAAATTACCTGACAGAGCCTCTGTTGAAGACTTTAGAAATGTTAAAGGCTTTGGCAGGATGGCTTGTTCCACGTGTTTAATAACTAAAATGTTCACACTTCACTCAGACCCTGCTCACACGAGAACGACCTCTGGAAACACTAGTGTTTCTTCAGTGCTCATTGGGAGGAATAAACAGTAAAAGAGAAGTTTTACATGGAAACGTTGTAGTTTCCATGCCAGGCCGGAATGCCATGCTCAGCTTAATGTAGCACACATGCAGTGTCAGCATGAACACAGTTACATACAAATGGGTGAATACAGAAGCATTCTTTTGGACCTAGGGTGTTGTTGGTTTGCTCCTGTATGCTGAAAAGGGTGAGTAGCACAAACCACTGCTGTCTACCATTTAATTATTAGAGCAGAAACACTTTGGACTGCAGTCGCTTGTACTGCGTATGTCTTCACGCCTGCGGAGTATTTCACATCTCAGCAAGACGTTCCCCTGAAAACCTCCACCCAGAGACCTGGATTCAGAAA